AATGGGACTTGGAGAAGAAGCCGAATAAGGATGCAGGTTTCCCAGATCCCTTAAAAGGTTACGGCATGACACCAGAGAAATGGGAGTACTACAACAAGGTTAGAGCTACCCTTTGTTTTTTTAATAATTGCATTAGTTTTATTTCAAAACTATATTATTCAGCAGTCATTTCTTGATGATTTATAAATGCGATATTTCACTACTTGTTAAATCTCGCATACTTGAGCACAGTTTTATGAAATTAGTTGTAACTTATCGCTAAAATTGACAGCTTACCTATCCGAGCTACACTAGCTATATTGGTTTTTTCATTATTGGAGGATCCGAAACTCTTCCCTCTTGAGGTTACAAGATTTTACAACTTTGATACAATATTTTGTTTTTAAATTGATGTGTGAGGAGTAAAGTATGCTAGTGGAGTCTTAGCTATTTGGAAAAGTTTAGTAATTTCTACCTATTTTAATGCTGGATAGTAAGTCATGTTCAGGTAGTATGGCCTCCAAACTACATCGTTCCCGAAACAGGCTTACCCAAGTTGAGGGAAGTTTTCCACTGTAGAGAGTCCGTGAGTTGTGAACACCGCCCGTCTCTCTCTTTTTGTTTGGGCTTGCAAATTTAAGTAAACAGGAATGTGAGTTGACTTGTTCAGATACATTTCTCCCCAAAACGTATGTGGCAAGCTTGTCAACTTGTATGGCGAACAAATGTTGATGAAGCGATAACGCAGCTTAATTTCCAGCAGATGAAGGTGAGCTATTTGTGACATTACGAATTTTTATTTTATATCGCTTGACATTTTAACATTTAGAGTTGTACAATTCTTGCTGAGGTATTGAGCGAAGCCAAGGAGCGAGCAGAGAAGGAGTTTCACATAGAATTTCCGTCAGATATGTACGTAGCAGATGCGTTCCCTATCCAGTCTAACATAATCAAGGGTTGGTTTTCTATCTTCTGTTTTATTCTATTTCTCTTATCCCCGTCTTAGTAAAGCACCTTTTCTTGCCATTTTTTATGGAAAACTTGTTTTTAAGTCTTGTTTTTTCTAAAGATTTGCGGTTTTAGACGTGATGTTGAGTTTTATTGGTTACATTAAATGAGATTTGTTTGGTCTTTCGTTTTTTTTATAGCAAATAATCATTCCCTTGTGTTCCAAATAAGACGGCGTGAGAAGTATAATGGTAAAAAGGTTGTCCTCTTTTAGCACGTCAGGGGTAAATATGAGGGCGATTGTTACTGTCTATTGATCGACCTTCTCCA